GCTATGCGTTCGTCTCGCACGTTGCAGGTGATCCCTGATAGCCGACCGAGAGATCACGTTGCGTACATCTTCATGATTCGACTTCAGTCGCGCTGTAAACCAGAGCCTCCGCGTCGAAGATGGGACTTCGCAGGACTCGAGCAATCGCTTCGTTCCTAACAATATGCAGATGAACTTCGCGGGCGGGTGGGGGCGGCTGTCGCTGAGTTACTCGAGAACCACGGTGTCTCTACTGTCTGGGATTTGGTCGAGGGCTCGGGGTCTCTGGAGGCTGCTTGGATGCAACTGGTTGAACTCGTTCGGGGTCAAGGTCTGGGCATGCATGAGGCCGCCCCCAGGGCGCTCCCCAAGGCGTACCAGGAGTTGGTCCAGGAGAGGATCCAGGCCCCGAAGGCCCGAGACTGGGCCCGCGAGCACATCCAAGACACCGTAGAGACCGCAGTGAGACTCACCAGGGCCACCAAACGTGGCAGAGCCTTACGTCGCCGTTTTTGTGAGCAGCGCGAGGCCCAGCAGGCGGGGGAGTTAAAAGAGGCACAAGCCAAGGGTCAGGCGTCGGAGGAGTGGAGGATACGCAGGTTGATGGCGGGTGCTGGAGTGGGGCCCAGGCGGAGGAGGTATGGATCGATATCTGCTTACACCCCGAGCGTGGAGGAGTGGGGGGAGAATATGGCGATGCCGTCGAGCAAGGGCGGCATGGCGTCGCGGCCGATAGACTAGGGGTCTGTCATTGCGCAGGCATCGGTGCATGGCTCGGTGGAGCCTGTGTCTGTTGCTACCGCTGACCTTGCAGCTGAGGACCCGGGCAGGATCGCAGAAGGGTTTCGCACGGCGCGGAGCGACGAGCTGCCGTCCCGTGGAGTGTGCCGAACGAAGCGTGGGCTATACTGCTGTCCAAGCGCCCAGACCTCCGAGAGCGCGTTGCTGGCTTAGGTGCTGGGCCTCCTGGTGGGCTAGGTGCACTTTTTCAAGAATGGGTGCATTGCTTCCTTGCGAAAGTTAGGCAACAGGGCCGCCTTGTGGTCCAGTGGAACATGTCCTTCACCTACCAACCCCTCCAAGGAACATGGCAAGCCGCGGACTCTGGGGACCAGGTTACTGCACGGACTGTGTGCGTTTGGTAAAATGTGGGTTACTGCGGCCCGTCGTCGGCCTCGCACTATACCGCCCCACGATTGCGTGTATCTGCCTCGGAGGTCTAGGACAGGTGCTGCGCGTACTACGGCTGCGCTGACGCGGAGGGCTCAAGACAAATCTGTTGTCGACCCTGGGTACGAAACATGACATGAGAAATGCATGTGGGTCCGAAACACGTTTCGCTGGACCAGGCAGTGGACCGACTGTGTGTAGAGGCTGCTGCACGTATCCTCCGGCGGCGGCACGGGCGCGTCTGTTCTCGCACCAAGGCGGAGGGGGGGCATTGGGTATTTCGAAACATGGAGGGGGACTACATGGGGTACGCCAGCGCTGCCACTGTTTTCCAAGAGGCGTTTGCCCCACCGAAACGTGAATGGTCGGGAGATCTTCACGCGCTTCATGTTAATCGTCTACGTGGTTTTAGTCCGATCGCAGGCGCGGACTGCGACCTGTCGCTGCGGGTCTTCGCGGATGATGTGAACAGAACGCACGTCTTCCGAGACTTCGATGAGGCGGTGGCCATCATCCACGCCTCCGATGCATGTCTAGATCGTGGGGGTAGGGGCCACTGGATTCACCCGCGTGGCCTTCCAGGCTGCTCAAAACGAACATCTCCCTGGGGTTGTTCTTCCTGTTGTGCCGTTCTTGGGGACGTTATTCACGCCGAGTGGGTCCGGGTTTCCTGAGGTTGAGGCACGTTGTGCGGCGATGACTAGGGGTTGGGCTCATATGGACCGTTTCTGGACCCTGTGCTCGCCGTGGAGGGCAAGGAAGACGGCGCTCCGCAGTGACATTGTGGGAGCGGCCCTGTCGGGCCTTACGGCGCTGGTCTTGGGGCGGTCTCAGGTGGCTCGTCTGGAATCCGTGTGCCTCAAGTACCTCAAAGTGCTGCTAGGTGGCGTTGCGCAGAAGATCCCAGCTGTTGCGGACGACGGGCGTGAGATCGTTGTGATTCGTACACCACCTGCTGTCCAGATCTGGAAGAGCGCGGACATCGCTCCGTTGCCCTTGGAACTGCGCGCGCAGAGGCTGAAATAATGGCAACACATCGCTCGCCCCCTGGCTATCATGAACAGCAACTCGCGGCGGTGTTTGGGGAGCTTGCGTGTGAGTCCGAGGTCCACTCGAGTTTTTCCTGGCTTCCTAGTTCCATGATGCGTCCTCGCAACGCTGCGCGAACAAATCCGTGGGCCCGCCAGTTTGTCGAGGACGTCGAATCGATGCAGGTAACTGAGGAAGGGAGGCAGGTCTTGGAGCTTTTGGATGGGGGACTACATGGGCACCTTCAGGGGGAAACCTAGGGGGCTTCGAGGCGTTCCAGAAGTCAGACATGCAGCAGT